CATTTTTAAAAATAATCCTCATCGCCTTATCAAAAAACCACAAAATGAGGAAAAATCCGCAGAAATCGAAGCCCTGAATTAAATATTAATTTTAACAAATAAAAGATATTTTAATAAAAATTTTCGTTTTTTTTGTTTTTTAAATTTTTTTCTAAATATAAATTGTTTATTGTTATTTTAAATAAAAGAAAATTTTTTTAGAATTTAAAATATGTAGTAAAAATATTAAAATATTTCTAATTGGAATTAATTTTTGTATTTTTGTAGTAACAATTTCGTGTTTTCAAAATTATAAATTGTATTAAATATAAAATCATTTTAGGGGCTATGTAGATACAAATTTATTGCAGTTTTTAATTACAATGCAACGCTATTATCTTCAAAAAATATAAATAACTCAGTATTGTGCCCCTTGGGCTTAAAAATGGGGTCCAAGTAAGGTTGGCGGATAGTTGGAAATCTTCAGATATATAGATCCGATATCCAAATCGAAAATTTCCGGATATCCGGACTTTTTTCGGATCCGGATATCCGGATCCAAGAGTAAACGTAAATAGGAAGACGTGGAGCGATATATCTAAATATTGAGTGATTTTATTTAGAAATATATGATATCAGACTGTAATTATTTTTATATTTATATTTACTACTTTTTAATTGAAAATAATTTTATTTAAAAATAATTATTCTTAAAATTCAACAAAAACAAATAGAAAAGAAATAAATAACGACGATTAATAAATATAATAATTGGAATAACGGATAATCTAAATATAAATAATATTTTAGAAGCAAATGTGTATATTTATTTTTGCCATTTTTGCAAAAATCTTAGGTATATTGGAGCTTGAAAAACGAATGGTATTAAATGTTTTTTAATGTCATCTATAATTTCATAATTAAGAAGAATAAAGAATTTTTATTAAAATGTTTAAATAAAAATTATGAATACCTAATTAAGTTAATAATAACTTACTAATTTCAAAGATTATTTTCTATTAAAAATATCAAAATAATTATACACCATTTTATATGTATTGAAAGGTAAAACAGTCGATCTGAGTCATGCAAAATAAAATTAATAGCACCGGGCAGGCCTTGCTCACACAAATGCAGGTGCTCTACCACAGAGCTACTCGGGTTCTACCAGAGAGCTACTTTCTAACCCCGCCTAATGCTCTAGCTGAATCATCCTTACAGATTCTATGTGTACATGCTTATAAATATGTATTACCTACTTTGTATTTATTTATGTTAGAATGATTGAATGAGAATTTAAGGATCACGGATAAAATTTTTTTGTCATAAATATCTTTGACTACAAAAACAATACATAATTAATCTTTATATAATTATTTAAATAAAATAACAAATCAACGAATAATATAATTAAAAAAATTTATATTTATTTATTTATTAATATTTGTAATTAATTTTTTTAATAAAAATCATTCTCAGTTATTCTTCCATTAACTCCACCAATCTTTCATTCAAGGCTCAACAGTCGAGGCTTTATTTTCTTTACTATTTCCTTCTTCAATAATAAAAATTTCAATTTCTATTATTTTATCCTCTCCATTATTTTCCTCACTTTTATAATTATTTTCTTGATAATCTATTGTTGTAGTATCAGAATTAATATCCTTTATTTCAGAATCATCAATTGCAATAGTTGTTGTGTCTATAGATTGTCCATTAATTGGCAAAATAATTAAAAATAAAATTAAAATATTAAAAAACATTTTTGTTTTCATTTTAAAATTTAATTTTAAAAAATAATTGAAGAAAATTATTTTTTTAAAATTGATTTCACCTATATTTTGTTTAAAATATTTAATATTATTAATTTTTTTATTATTTTTATACTTTTGGTAAAAACTTTTAATAAGTTTAAATATTTAATAAATTTATTTATTTTATGTAAATACTTTCTCTTATTGAGTGTTAGGTAAATATTTTTGATCAAAAATTTTTATTTTTTGCAAAAACGGCAGGTATTACATATTTTAGTAATTATATGTATACCTATAATATGTAGGTATTTGCAAATAAATATTTTTTATTTTAAACTTTGTAGTTTATCTAGGTATTTATTTAAATTTCTAAATTGTTAAAAATAACTCATTTGAAAATTAAAAATTGAAAATTTATTGTAAATTTAAAATTAAAAAAATTGAAGTTTAATTTTTAATTCATTTGAAAATTTATTTAAATTTCTAAAATAACTTATTTAAAATAAATAAAATGATGGAAAGATTTATTTTAAATCTTGTTTTGGCATTATTTTTTTAATTTTTTTCAAAAGTTAGTTATTACTGCCGACGGTATTTTTCGGTATTACGATACGAAATTTCTGTCTAATTATTACTGCTAGTTCGGTTATTACAAGGATTGTCGGATTAACAAAATTCTTTAGTTTACCGAGACAGGAAACCCGAACCGAAACTTTTGGTTAATCGAAAACTGAACCGAAAATCTTCGGTTTGCTTAGGTTGGAAACGGAAACATCAGAATTATTAAATATATTTTTCCGGAAACATCAGAAATATTAAATATACTTTCCGGAAAAATCAGAATTATTAAATATACTTTCCGGAAAAATCATAATTATTAAATATACTTTTCCGGAAACATCAGAATTCTTAAATATCCCTTCCGGAAACATCAGAAATATTAAATATACTTTCCGGAAAAATCAGAATTATAAGTATTAAATATACTTTTCCGGAAACATCAGAATTATTAAATATATTTTTCCGGAAACATCAGAAATATTAAATATACTTTCCGGAAAAATCAGAATTATAAGTATTAAATATACTTTTCCGGAAACATCAGAATTATTAAATATATTTTTCCGGAAACATCAGAAATATTAAATATACTTTCCGGAAAAATCAGAATTATAAGTATTAAATATACTTTTCCGGAAACATCAGAATTATTAAATATATTTTTCCGGAAACATCAGAAATATTAAATATACTTTCCGGAAAAATCAGAATTATAAGTATTAAATATACTTTTCCGGAAACATCAGAATTATTAAATATATTTTTCCGGAAACATCAAAAATATTAAATATACTTTCCGGAAAAATCAGAATTATAAGTATTAAATATACTTTTCCGGAAACATCAGAATTATTAAATATATTTTTCCGGAAACATCAGAAATATTAAATATACTTTCCGGAAACATCAGAATTATTAAATATATTTTTCCGGAAACATCAGAAATATTAAATATACTTTCCGGAAAAATCAGAATTATTAAATATACTTTCCGGAAAAATCAGAATTATAAGTATTAAATATACTTTTCCGGAAACATCAGAATTATTAAATATATTTTTCCGGAAACATCAGAAATATTAAATATACTTTTCCGGAAACATCAGAATTATTAAATATATTTTTCCGGAAACATCAGAAATATTAAATATACTTTCCGGAAAAATCAGAATTATAAGTATTAAATATACTTTTCCGGAAACATCAGAATTATTAAATATATTTTTCCGGAAACATCAGAAATATTAAATATACTTTCCGGAAACATCAGAATTATTAAATATATTTTTCCGGAAACATCAGAAATATTAAATATACTTTCCGGAAAAATCAGAATTATAAGTATTAAATATACTTTTCCGGAAACATCAGAATTATTAAATATATTTTTCCGGAAACATCAGAAATATTAAATATACTTTTCCGGAAACATCAGAATTATTAAATATATTTTTCCGGAAACATCAGAAATATTAAATATACTTTCCGGAAAAATCAGAATTATAAGTATTAAATATACTTTTCCGGAAACATCAGAATTATTAAATATATTTTTCCGGAAACATCAGAAATATTAAATATACTTTCCGGAAAAATCAGAATTATAAGTATTAAATATACTTTTCCGGAAAAATCAGAATTATTAAATATATTTTTCCGGAAACATCAGAAATATTAAATATACTTTCCGGAAACATCAGAATTATTAAATATATTTTTCCGGAAACATCAGAAATATTAAATATACTTTCCGGAAAAATCAGAATTATTAAATATACTTTCCGGAAAAATCAGAATTATAAGTATTAAATATACTTTTCCGGAAACATCAGAATTATTAAATATATTTTTCCGGAAACATCAGAAATATTAAATATACTTTCCGGAAAAATCAGAATTATAAGTATTAAATATACTTTTCCGGAAACATCAGAATTATTAAATATATTTTTCCGGAAACATCAGAAATATTAAATATACTTTCCGGAAACATCAGAATTATTAAATATATTTTTCCGGAAACATCAGAAATATTAAATATACTTTCCGGAAAAATCAGAATTATTAAATATACTTTCCGGAAAAATCAGAATTATAAGTATTAAATATACTTTTCCGGAAACATCAGAATTATTAAATATATTTTTCCGGAAACATCAGAAATATTAAATATACTTTCCGGAAAAATCAGAATTATAAGTATTAAATATACTTTTCCGGAAACATCAGAATTATTAAATATATTTTTCCGGAAACATCAGAAATATTAAATATACTTTCCGGAAAAATCAGAATTATAAGTATTAAATATACTTTTCCGGAAACATCAGAATTATTAAATATATTTTTCCGGAAACATCAGAAATATTAAATATACTTTCCGGAAACATCAGAATTATTAAATATATTTTTCCGGAAACATCAGAAATATTAAATATACTTTCCGGAAAAATCAGAATTATTAAATATACTTTTCCGGAAACATCAGAATTATTAAATATCCCTTCCGGAAACATCAGAAATATTAAATATACTTTCCGGAAAAATCAGAATTATAAGTATTAAATCTCATTTTCAACTGTAAATCATCCAGTTTAGCTTGAAAGAAGCCGGAATCTTCTATTTCTTCTTCTAAATTATATTAAATTATTTTTTAATTATTATAACTTTAAAATTTTTAAAGTTTTTGTGAATTCTAAGTAATTTTTAGTATATAAAAATTTTTAATTTAAATTTACCATTAAACAAATCCAAAGCAATTTTGCTTAAATTTATTTGTTCAAACAATTTCAATTTAAATTTTTTCCCCGTCAAAAAAGCATAACCTTTTTTCAATTTTCTTTTCATCCAATTCATTATTTTAACAACTCCTTTACCATAACCATAAGTTACAGACATTTTTGGATGATAGATATCATAAACTTCCTTTTCTGTTATTTCTACCAAATTTTTATTTTTTTCATTTAATCTTTTAATTGAACGATCAAAAATTAATCTAATCATTTCTTTATTTTTAATTGTATCTGTAGACCAAAAATTTTCGAAAAATTCACTTCCAAAGTGATTAGCAGTTATATAACCTATTTCAAATTTGAGAATTTGTGTTGAAGGATTAAACAAAATTCCAATAATTTTTTTGAATAAATTTGATACGGTAATAAAATGAGAGGGAATATAGGTTAGTAGAAAACCAAAAAGGCTTAAAACTGCCCCAATCCCCATTGCGTTGATTGCCATTGAGGAATTCTTTTCGATATCCATTGAAGCACTGACCTGCAAAATAAAAATATTTTTATTTTATATATTCATTTAGGGTTGCCGTTTTCGAATCGGGCCGACGGGCGAAGCATTTTTCTCGAGCTTGTTTTTATTAAGTCAGGCCTGGGCGAGTCACTTTCGGTCAAACATCTTAGGACCCACTTGATCTTTTGGTCCGAGTCGGTCCATTTTGGCACTCCTAATTATGTAATTTTTGGATTTCGGCTCCCATGTTTTATAAAAAATTTGCCTAAATCTTCCATTTTCCGACTTAGATGTATCGAGGATATTCAAAAATAAATTTATTTACTCCTTGAATAAATTATAAATGATAACCTTATGCTTAATATATTTACTGAAAGCAACATTTCTTTCCTCGTTAGTAATTCCCATTCCCGTTGTTAAAGAATGAGGTTTATTAATTACAAATAATTTTTGAACAATTTCTTTGCATATTTGTTTGTTTTTAGAATTTTCCTCAATTCTACGTTCCAAAACAAGTTGTTCAATACTCGGTTTTGGAAAGAAGCCTTTCTTGTATTTATAATATACCCCAGCACGTAACAAATCTTTCATTACAGAATATTCAAAAGGCAAAATTGCACTAGATGTAGATGAAGCAATCTAAAAGTGAATAGAGTTTTCTAAACAGAATTCTCTTCTTTACCTCATTCGAAAGAATATCTAATCCCAACATATCCCAATTCGTATCCATTTGTATCAAATTTTTCAGCAAAGCCCCTCCAACAGCTATTTTCTGTACATTCCAAGAATCTCTAAGATTATTCAAAAATCCTTCCAAAGTTGTTGGGGTAAAATTTCCTCCCTCAATCATTATTAAAAATCTTTGAAGAAACAACGAGTCAGCTAAGTTAACAAATAAATTCGTTATAACAGAATATAATATAACAGATAAAGGAATATATAATGGTGGGCAAGAAACTGCTACAATTGCTAATAATGGAGGCCAAACAAAAACATCCAAAATTATGCTGATTAGGCCAGAGCCTGCTAAATTTATTAACATGCTGTTGGCTATTTCTTTTGTCACTTCCTTGGCGTTATAAACGGAAAGGAGAATTTGAGCTCCAAGTCGACCACGAAATTCTTTATGCATTTCATCGTCATCCTCTGTAAATCCGTTTAAATAAAAAATTAAAATTTAAATATATTGGTCTGCTAAATTTAGCAAGTCAAGTCCCAAATCATCTCAACCAAAACAAAATTATGATTATTTTTTATCAAACACTTCGGTTTATTAATTAGTTTAGGAAAATTTTTCCCACTTTTGGGGATCGGTAATCGGAACGGAACATTCTCTGACATTCTCTTACATATATGGTTAATTTAATTTATTTGCTCTAGACTTGCCTCTAATTTCTTCAGAAATAACAATCTCAATTGCCTCCTTTAGCTTATAAAACATTTTCATGTTTTTATCAATATTCAAAAGTTCCTTTTTAAATTTAACATAAACGTCGGAATCAAATTTTTCTTTATTTTCATTTTTATTTATTTTAGAGTTCATCCAATCCCATGCTTTATTAAATATATTTTTCTGTTTATTTTTAAATTCATTATTGAGATAATTTAATGAATTAATTATTTTGTTATTTTCAACTTTATTCTTTTTTAAATTAATTTTGATCTATTAAAAAAATAATTAATTAGTTAATAATTAATTAAAATTATACTTTATTTTTTCTTCTATAATTTCTTCTCTTTTCCAATATTTTTTTAATTTCTTTAATTCTTTATATAAAAATTCCACAGAATTTTCTCTCAATTTTCTTTTCTCATTTTTTATAAAATTATCTGGATTTTTAAAATATTCAACAATTTCCTCGTATTCTTGTCCTCCAAGCTTTTCAAAACGTTTATTTAAAGGCTTTATTTTAACATTATAAACAACATTTTGGAGAAAATCAAATGGATGGATTTTAACTTTTGTTAAATTTTCGAAGATTTTCTCATCAATTTCGACTTTAATTTCTTCATCTAATCGTTTTTGCCCATCCTCCTCAAATTTTTTAATATAACCTAAAATTAAGTAGATTAATTTTAATTATCATAAAGTTGAGTGAGGTTCATAATAGAAATTTATTTGACAACTTTATGAACAGTTAAAGGTTATTTTCCAGCGGTGGATGCCAAACATCTTGGACGGATTGCGAAGTAAAGCCCTCCCGTAGCGACGCAAAATTAGTTTCCGTGGATATTTAAGTAGATTAGACCCAGAAAATTAACCAAACTCGGGACTTTTGTGGCAAACAAATAACCGAAAACCGCGCTATCTGTTATAATCGGTTATTCCAACCCTACATATTTTTAACTGGTCATAATTTTGTTTAGAAGCCCCAATCACTATTATTTTCTAAAAAGAATTTATACTTTTAAATTCTTCAATTCGTTTTTCCTTCAATTTTATATCAGGCAATTTATTCAACTCTTCTATTAAATTATCTTCTAACTTTTTTGATTTTTCAGAAATTTCTATTGAAATTTTCTGTTCAATTGAAGTTTTTCCCAGCTTTTCCAAAGACTTTAATTTCTCAAAATTTTCATCCAAAATTTGTTCAATTTGTTCTATTTCTTCTTTTTTTGTTTTATTTTTCTCATCAATCAAATCATCATTTTTAGTTTTTTTAATTAAATTTTTAGTAAATAACCTCACAAACCACAAATTTTCGAACCAAATTTTTCTTTCAATACTTTTAATTATTTTCCATAAATGTGAACATATTTTATCAAAAATACGTTTTTCTGTCTTTTTCATTAATTTAAGACGTTTTTTCTCTAAATCAATCTGAATTTTTAATATATTTGACCAGTCAAGATAAACTTGTTCTCCTTCACCAAATCCATTTCTTCCCTTATAGATTGCTTCTAAAAAATATTTAAACTAGAGATCGCAGATTTTAAAACCTTGACATTAATCTTAGATACTTGGTTTTGGTTGAGGACCTTGACCAGATTCTTGACCTTGAATCAAGGAGGAATCAAGGTCAAGGAAAAATCATGTGACACTGAAAAATGTCTTATCTTAACTTTGGATCGGGAAAAATGATCCAGACTCTGGATCCAGGACTATCTCTAAGTAAACCAGGAATTGGAAACAAAAGCTTAATTATTATTTAAATATGTTTTATGCATATTCTCCGTTCTAAATTTTTTGAAAGCTTTTAAAAGTTCAAAGATTTAGGGAATATCTTTTATTTTTTATACATTTAAAATTGTTCTAAAATTCTATCAAATACCTAAAATCGCAAATGTCCCCAAATGCGCATTCCCTTCCCCCTCCTCAACTTCAACATGTTTTTCTTCGTTTCTAGGCATTTTTTCTTCATTTTCTTCCTCCTTTTTATTAAAAAATATTATTTTTTCTTCTCCACTTTTTAATTTTTCCAATTCTTCCTTCATAACAGTAGTCCCTTCTCGAAAAAGAAATGCCCAAACAAAAATATCTTTTTCCAAAGAAAATTCAACAAAACATTCTTCTTCTTCATCCTCTATCCCTTCTTCCAATTCTTTTAAAATAAATTTATTATTTATTTTTAACCAAATATAAACATATTCCAAAATTTTGTTAATTGTTTTATTTTCAGAAATAAATTGTTTTGTTCTCAAATCTTTTTTAACTTTTCCCCTAATAATTTCGGGAAGAAAAAATAAATTTTTCTTGACAAGTTTTGAGGCGTATTCTGATGAAATAAATTCTTTAACATTTTTTATTCTTTAAAAAAAATAAATAAAAATATTTTTTAATTTTTAAATTTACTTGGATTGTTTTTGAGAATTTTCTTCTTCCAAAGAGTTTTTAAATTTTGTTGATTTTCTCAAATTTTCGTTAAATTCTGTTTGTTCTTTTGTTTTGTTTAATCCAACATTTAATGAACAATTAATTAATGAAACAAAAAATAAGAATAAAACAAAATATTTAAATAATTTAGATGTTAACATCTATTAAAATAAAAATTAAATTTTTAATGAAAATTTTTAAAAGGGCTCATTTGGGCAGATGTGTTTGTACTAGTATGTACCTCCGTATCAGTGCTGGGCTTATTCCGCATTTCGCGTTTCGCATCTTTCGCATTTTTCGAATTTTTTAACGCGAAAAGTTCCGCATTTCGCTTTTTGGACCGAATGCGAAATTTGTTTCGTCTTTTAATTTAGTATTTTTTTATTTTTTTAGAAATTTTTTTAAATTATAATGTCTTTAATATGGAAGTACTATTTCTCACTTTTTTTCCATTTCTCCATTTCTCAAAAAGTTTCGCTTTTCGCTTTTTATTTTTATATTTCACCCAGCCCTGCTCCGTATCACTCCAAGCGCTCCTATTTTTGTTTGTGATTCATCGACTCCTAACAAGTACGATTAAGAATTTTGATAAGAGCATCCAAGCATCGGCTATAAATAACCGGAGGAGAGTTATTATAATTTTTTATATATAATGAATGGTGATTAAATTTTCGGCATTTTTTAATAAAAAAAGGGAAAGTGAAATTTTATTTTAATTATAAAAAATAATATAAATTAAAAATTATTTTATAAACAAAAAATTATAAACGATCGGGACCTATATAATATTTTACATACATAGAGAATAATTCAGTATTTATATTGAAATAATTTATTGAATTAATTAATTATTCAGCCAATAAATGTCTACTATTAACAATGCTTAATAATGTCTATTAATGATTGTCTAGACAAAAAATTGAAAAAGATTCCTTTATATATTTAATAGAAATTGACCTTTTATTAACTTAAAATGTTTAAATTAAATTACTTAAATAAATTTTAAGTTGATAATGTTTGGTTTTTATGTATTTTGATAGAAATATTTAAATTAAAAATTAAATTTTAGAATTAATAAACTTTTTATAAAATATTGTAAGGAAGACTTAAATGGCTTAATATTAAATAATTCCTTAAACTAGAACAACATAATTAACCCCGCCTATTTTTAATCACTTATAATAAATTGTATCCCTAGTTTGTCAGTTAGTTTTTCTTCCTATTTTGATTATGAATGAAAATTGTATTTTAAATGTGAGAAATAAATATTATTGAGTCTAGTTTACATTTTAATTATGTTTATTTCTTTCGGCAACGAAAAGATAGTTGAGTTGATCCGATTATGTAGTTGGTGAGTGCGCTGGCCACGCACGAGCATTCCTCAGCCCCAACACCTTCCAACCAACACCTTCCAACTTTACTATATTTTGTCTGTTTGTGGAGATTTTTATTTAAATAAATTACCTGTTCGGTTCCGAATATTTAAAAAATTTTCAAGAACAGACGTCCCTAATTTTGAATATAACAAAAAATAAAATAATAAAAAAAATATCTTTTTATTACTTTGACTAATTTATGTCTAATATTTTTGCTTTTTAAAATTTATTTCCTTGTCTATCAAAGTGTTATGTAATTCTCAATTTACTTTAATATAAAAAATACACCTTAAATAAATAACAAATGTCGAAATAAATAATTTTTTTGTAAAAATATATTGTAAGTCTTGCGGGGATCTTCTTGGAATCACGTGAAGATTAAACGGAATTTTATTTATGTTATATATGTGTGGGTTATTATATTAGCGATCAGTCTTGGTCGGCACTTGGGCGATCAGTCTTGGTCGGCACCTTCTATTTATAGTACACCTGGGCCGTCGCCTATCCTTAATTATTCTCGCCTTTTGCCACCTTCGTTATCAATGTATTTACTATTCGGATAAACAGTTATTCTATTCTTGTGTTATTCTGTTAGTCACTAGGTAAGACCGCTACCCTAGGACATAAGAATTTATTATTTAAATTTTTTATTTTATTAAAAAATGTGGATATTCAATAACTGTTTGTGGATGTAATTATATTTATTATTAATTAATTATACAAAATAAAATAAGAAAAAGGATTCAATATATTTTTAATTATTCCTCAAAATATTTTTAATTAACAGGAATTTGTCCATTATTTTTATTTAAATTATTTTTAGAAATGTGTTTGACAGTAACTGCAGTTGCAACAGAATTTGTTTTTATTTTAAAAACTTTATGAAAAGCTTGTCTATATTCTTGGCTTTAAAGAAATTAAATTTTAATTGATAAAAATTTAAAGAATATACTTAGATAAATAAAGTATAGGCCCATCACTTGCCATAACAAAATTAGTTAAACAACTCAAAGAATGTGTAACTATTGTTGATTGTGTAACATCTAAATCAAGACGAGGAACTGTCATTCTAGCAATACTATTCATTGAATGACCGACAAGATTAAATGCCATAAGTACAGCGAGGGTTTTTATTATTCGATGAGTCCATTCAAATGATGCTAAAAATATATTTTAGAATGATTATTTTTATCAATGAGCGGCCTTAAGTTTGTGACATAATCTCTCATAATATTAGTATAATTAAGGGAAAGAGGTTTGCTCAGAACTGTTAGGCGTCTTTAATCTTATATCAAAGTAAATCATTGGAACTGTCTCTTATTTATATTATATACAGTCGTGGAAAAAAGTATGGAAGCGCTAGAAAATTTTTTCTTAATTCTTAATTTTTCATTCAAAAAATACGTTCTATATACCAATCGAAAGCTCTATTCGTATCTCAGTTGACATGTTTCTGCATTTTTCATGAAAATGAAAATTGGCCGAGATAATCCGGATCTACCGGATATACCAAATCCCACTTTTTCGGAAAAATTTTTCGGAACAAATTTACCAAACCCAAATGATAAAGCATATTTTTGTGAGCAAATTCCACAAAACCGCTTAGAAATATCTTTTTCCGGAGCAGAGATATGATTTTTTAAAAATGGCATTTTTCGCTTAAAAATTGAATTTTTTGCAAAAATAGACGAAAAATGCGATTTTCAAAAAATCATATCTCTGCTCTGGAAAAAGATATTTCTTAGCGGTTTTGTGGAAAATACTCAGAAAAATATGCTTTATCATTTGGGTTTGTTAAATTTGTTCCGAAAAATTTTTCCGAAAAAGTGGGATTTGGTATATCCGGTAGATCCGGATTATCTCGGCCAATTTTCATTTTCATGAAAAATGCAGAAACATGTCAACTGAGATACGAATAGAGCTTTCGATTGGTATATAGAACGTATTTTTTGAATGAAAAATTAAGAATTAAGAAAAAATTTTCTAGCGCTTCCATACTTTTTTCCACGACTGTAGATCTCTGGACTATTATCTTATTTTTGGGGGATAAGAGCAAATGAATGGGACACGCCCAAGTAGGCGCGCGGCCAAGTAGGCACAAAGCCATAACTACCTGGAAGATTTTTGAACCTTAACAATTTTGGTATCAATCTCTTTAGCTCGATGAGAGGAATCGCTTAATACTAAATTTGAAAGAAAAAACTACCACACCTTGATTCTGATTTTTATTAGCATGCCATTTAAGAGCAATCCAAACAATAATATAATTAACCAAAGTAAGGAAATTAATTACAGAAAAGATAAAATAAGATAAATCGCCTGCCCATCCCACAGTACATTCATGTGGAGCACAAATAATTTGTCTTTAAATATAAAAATATTTTTAAAAAATAAAAAAAAATATTAACGAAGTTTCAGGCATTGTATTAACTATCTGATAAATAGCCCATATAATAATTGCTGGGCAAATAAATAATGTACAAATCATTGGAATTAAATAAAATGTTCTTTTCACAATTCTTTGTAAATACCTTTTAATTAATTAATTATTTTACAAAAAAAAATAATAATTTTTCTGACCATAATGGGAATAAAACACTTAAAAGTCTATCAAAAGAAACGAGTAATGCTGCTGTAAAAGAAGTTGTAAATCCAACAACAAATACCAAAATTAATTGTTTACAACAAAATTTCATATTTATAAATTGATGTCCAGAGTTAAAAATAACGGTTATGGATAGCCAGCTGTGGATTTGAAAAACGGCATTCGAAAAGCATTCAAAAGCAAGTAAAAAATGGCAAGGGGATTTTAATGTTCTTAATTTTTTGAAAATAAATTATTTAAATTAATTAATTTGATAAATTTTGTAAAATATTAATAATGAAATGGAAACAAAAATTCTAATTTTTTATGTCCAGATTTTATTTTAAAAGAATAATAGAGAAATAAATTTAAAAGGAATTCAAATCATTTGGTAAAAAATGGAAATCAGTTATCAAATATTAACATATTTTAAAGCAGAAGGACTATAGAGCTATTTCTCTCATTTAGCTAGTGCAAAAGGTTATCGGCGGCTGGGAGCGAACTAGCATCTTCAGTAGACCGGACTGATGTGTTAGCTATTACATCACGCCGTCTACTGCACAGCCTTAGGAATTAAATAGTTATATGCTTTACAATCTTTGGATATTTGGGATCCTGACAGAATTCCGATCCTGACAGAATCCAATGCTTTACAATATTTTAAATATTTTTTCTTAATTGTTAAAAATTTAATTTTAACACATACTTGCACTTAACAGTCACATAAACAACGGCAGCATTTAAAAATATCCCAATAGTAGCAATAGCTATTCGAATAACATTAATTGTTATTAAATCTGCCGGAAGCCCTTTATCTCCATAAACATCAAAAAGCTGAATTTTGATAAAATATTTTAATATTTATTTCAAAAAATTAAAAACTACTAAACTGTTTGTTTTTGAGTACTCATTTTATTTAGTAAATGTTGTTATTTAAAATAAAATAATTTTATAAAAATAAAAAAGTTTGAAGTAATTCTATTAAAAATAATTATTAAAATTAAAAATTATATTTATTTAATAAAACAGATCTGATGATTTTAATAAATTATTAGTGAATTTTTGGAAAAGGAATTTCTCAAAACAGATAGAAAAATGGAAACCAAAAACGTGGAGATAGTAAAAAAATTTAAAAAAATTTTTTATTTTTGAGCGTAATCTTTGTAGATAAAAAGCGTTTCCATGTGCTCCGAGCTATAACTAGCACACTCGTCTGTGAGAAAAATTTGTAACTTGAAAAGGAGCAGATGAATTTGATGGAAATAATGTTAAAAAGGCAAAATTAGAAAATAAGATTTTGTATTTAAAAATAAAAATGGAAAAAAAATTAATTTGCCATTTTGGTAATAATTTAAAAAATTATTTATTATTTTTAAAAAAATATTAAATAGGATATCAAAGATTAAAGAAATAGTCAAAATTTTCAAAAAGACAAACAAAGGAAAGATAAAAAAATATATTTCCTTAACCAGTCAACATAATTTGAAAATAAACTCGAATCCGTGGTTCTCATAGCACCTATGCTAGGAGAACCAGAGGTGGGTCGGAACAAACAGAGGTGTCGAAAATAGGAAGAGCCGGAAATCGGAACTGGCTCAAAAGTCGGAAATCGAAATCAAACTTTTTTTCGGAAATTAGAAGGAAAAAAACGTCGGAAATCTAATTCCGACCCACCTCTGATGAAAACTACGACTTAAAAAACTACTAACTCGTTCGAGAATAAAAAAAGAACAAATCCTAAAAATCATAACCCAACTTATCATATTTACATTAAATTTAGACAATAAATACTATAAAAATTTATAAATAAAATAAAATCTTTTGTTGTTAAAATTTAATTCCTCTACATAATCTTTTAATTTATTTATTAAAATATTTCTATTTTAAAATTAAAACAAAGGCTTTGTCTATTTAAATTTGTAGTATTTGTGCAAATATTTTTATTTAAATAAAATATTTATTCACGAAATAGTTTTGGTTCGAAATATTTTTTGATTTTTAATTAATTAAAAAAATATATAAATAGTAACATTTTATACAGATATTTCCTAATATTTTTATAAAAATAAAATTAATTAATTAGATTATAATTAATTTTTTAAATTTATTTGAATATAGAGTTACTCGATTAATTTATTAAAAATACCGTAAAACCTGTATTAATTACCCTCCCTCAAATAATTACCCCACTTATATTAATTACCCCCTTTAGCGATAGATTGAAATAATACGTTCAAAAAACGCGTTCAAATTTCAACCTCAAATAATTACTCCCTCCAGCAGAAAGTCGAAACAATAATTACCTAGGGTAATTATTCAAAGTTTTAGAGTAATTACTTTCCAAGCTTTTATTGAAGAGGGTAATCTTTTGAAGATTTAAATTTTAATTAAATTTAAAATCAAAAATCATTTTTTTTAATTTATTCATTAATTTAAATTTAAAATTTTATAAATGAAGGGAAAAAAATAAAAATATGTACATAATAAAAATGCTAATTAATTAATTAAAATAACTAAAAAACGAATTTTTATAATTCGACGAAAATAATTTACATTTTTAAATAAAATAACTTCAAATTAAATATTAATTTAAACAAATAAAGACATTTTAATAAAAATTTTCGTTTTTTCAGATTTTTATATTTTTTCTAAATATAAATTGTTTATTGTTATTTTAAATAAAAGAAAATTTTTTTATAATTTAAAATATATAGTAAAAATATTAAAATATTTCTAATTGGAATTAATTTTTGTATTTTTGTAACAATTTTGCGTTTTCAAAATTATAAATTGTATTAAATATAAAATCCTTTTTAGACGCTATTATCTTCAAGAAATACATATACCTCAGTATTGTTTACACCTTGAGCTTAAAAATGGGGTCCAAGTAAGGTTGCCGGATAGTTGGAAATCTTCAAATATATAGATCCGATATCCGAACCGAGAATTTCCGGATATCCGGCCTTTTTCGGATCCGGATCCAAGAGTAAACGTAAATAGGAAAACGTGCAGCGATATATCTAAATATTGAGTGATTTTATTTAGAAATATATGAGATCAGACTGTATTTATTCTTATACATATAACTTGATAAATATTTTTAAAATTCTACAAAAACAAATAGAAAAGAAATAAATAACGAGGATTAATAAATACTTAAATAATAATTGGAAGGATTATCTAAATATAAAAAATATTTTAGTAGCAAATGTGTATGTTTATTTTTGCTATTTTTGTAAAAATCTTAGGTTAATTGAAGCTTGAAAAACGAAAGGTATTAAATATTTTTTAATGTCATCTATAATTTTATAATTAAAGAAGAATAAAATATTTTTTAATAAAAAGCTTTATAATTATTATGAATAATTAAGTTTATAATAACTTCTAATTTCAAGAATTATTTTCTTTTTAAAAATATCAAAATATGTAATTATACACCATTTTATATGTATTGAAAGGTAAAACAGTCGATCTGTGTCATACAAAATAAAATTAATAGCCACCGGGCAGGCCTTGCTCACACAACTGCAGGTGCTCTACCACAGAGCTACTTGGGCGAAGACTAATGCATTCTAACCTCGCCTAATGCTCTAGGTGGATCATCCTTACAAGCTTCTGTGTGTACATGCTTATAAATATTACATACTTTGTATTCATTTATGTTAAAAAGAATGTATGAGAATTTAAGAATCACCGATAAAATTTTCTTGTCATAAATGTCTTTGACTTCATAAACAATGGGAGTAGGCCAATTTACCGCAGAGCTATAACTTCGTTCAAAATTATTGAATCTGAGCCGCCTTGATATGGTTCGATGCGCCTCAACAGTCGAATCGAATCACTCCAGGTCTTCCCGGATTCGACAATTCTGAACGAAGTTATAGCTCTGCGGTAAGTTAGGGTGTACCCAATAATAATACATAATTAATCTTTGTATAATTATTTAATTTAAATAAAAAATCAACAAAAAATATAATTAAATAATATATTTATGTATTTAATATTTGTAATAAATTTTTTAAATAAAAATTATTCTCTCAGTTATTCTTCCATTAACTCCGCCAATTCTTCATTTAAGGCTCAACAGTTGAGGCTTTAGTTTCTTTACTATCTTTTCCTTCTTCAATAATAAAAATTTCAATTTCTATTATTTTATCGCCCTCATTATTTTCTCCACTATTATAATTATTTTCTTCATAATCTATTGTTGTAGTATCAGAATTAATATCCTTTATTTCGGAATTATCATTATCAATTGCAATAGTTGTTGTGTCTGTATCTTGTCCATTAATTGTCGAAATAATTAAAAATAAAATTAAAGTAATAAAAAACATTTTTATTTTTATCTTAAAATTTAATTTTAAAAAATTATTTAAAGGAAAAAAAATATTTTTTTAATTGATTCCCTCTATATTTAGTTTAAAATATTTAATATGTATTACTAAGTTTATTCTTTTATTTTTATACTTTTGGTAAAAACTTTCAATAATTTTAAATGTTTAATAAATTTCTATTTATTTTATGTAAATACTTTCTCCTTATTGTGTGTTAAGTAAATATTTTTGATCAAAAATATTTATTTTTTGCAAAAACGGCAAGTAAATTATACATAGTATATACTGCCCATAATATGTAGGTATTTGCAAATAAATATTTTTAAACTTTGTATTTTCTTTATTTAAATACATATTTAAAAATACCTAACTTATTCAAAAATAATAAAATGATGGAAAGTAGATATCGGCAAAATCGCATTCCTTGGATCCCGTAACGGGATTTTCTTCAAAAATTTTTGCGGGACAGGTTCCCACGGGATTAATCCCGTAAATCCCTAATAATCTCGTACTAAAATTTAACGGAATTCCGCGGGATTTCGGTATTTTTATATAAGAAATTTTTTCGTAATAGTACAGACGGGATTTTTCGGTATTTTTGATACGAAATATGATACGGTACGAAATCTCTTTCTCTAATTATTAATGCTAGTTTGGTTATTACTCTAAATATAATGTTTAATTTCAAAGTTAAATTTACTTAAAAAATTAGGTAAAATATTTTAAATTTTAATGTCTTTCACTATTTTTTATAATTTTGTGTATATTATTTAAAAATTGTTTTTTTGTCCTTTTAATAGTTTTTGTTCTTATCAGTCCTTCCAAATTTGTTATTTTTCTGTTCACATTTATTTTAAGTATTTTTCTCTCTTAAATTAACAAAATTAACAAATTAATAAAATTTTCTAATAAAATAATGATCAAATTTATTTTTATTTTTATTTAAAAATATTTTTTCTTATAAAATCCTCGTATTTTCTCCAACAGTTAGTGCAAGTCATATGATTTTAGATGCAAGAGTAGCTGATACTTTGGCTAAAGGAGGGCATGATGTTGTTAGTTTTGAGTTAATTTTTAGGATTTTAAATACCGTGAATATTCTAATATAAGCCCACCTCTATTAGAAGCCCACCTCTAATACATATAAGCCCATCCGGGAAGACCCATTGAAAAATATAAGCCCAGGGCTTATGATTAGAATATTTTAAATAAATTCTTTTTTTTTCTCTCTCAGACACTTTTACAAGTTGAATTTAACTTGCCTTTTGGCAGTCTAAAAAATATTACAAAATATGCCAAAATTAAACAAATTGGATCCCTTACATCCACAATTGATGATCAAATTTTTAAAGATATTTCTAAAATGGCATTTCAAACAATTACTCCAATTTTTATTTTACGTGTATTTATTCCTTATATTAAGGAAGCAAATAAGGAATGTGAAAGTAAAAATATACAATTTTAATTTATTTTTTTAAAAATAAATTTAAAGTGTTAATTACTGAAAGGAAAGAAGAAATAGAAAAATTACATTCTGAAAATTTTGATGTAATTATTACAGAACAACTTTTTCATTGTGGTTCTGCCTTGGCACCTTTATTAGACATTAGAACACATGTTTTGCTTGTAAGGTAAGCATTAGAGATCGAGATTTTTGAAAAGCCTGTGTTTGTTTATAGGTTCCAGGTTTGATTTATTGACCTGGGCCGGATGATGTGCCTGTAGTCCAGGAAAAACCCAGGCTCAGGAAAAATCCAGGAAGATCAAAAAATCCCTGGGCCTAGACTCTGGGTACAGGATAAACGCAGGCCTGGTCCAGACCCAGCTCGATCTCTAGTAAACATTAAGGGTTTCTTTTTTCAAAAGATGGAAGGTTTACTTACATTTATAAAATAATTTTTCTACCCCCAATATTGGAATATAGTTATTTACTAATTTATCCGAAAATAATATTCACGTTGTCGAATTTAATAATCACAAGAAAATATTTTTCAGTTCACTCTGAAAAATAATTTTTAGTTTTTAACCTCGTTGAATTATATGTACTAAATGATTAAAATTCAGAGAAAATTCAGAAATTAAAATTTTATAATTTTATAGTCAGCCAATCCCAGAGCACACAGCTTCTGTTCTAGGCCTTCCATATCCAACTAGCTATGTCCCAGGACTTACACTTAGTGGATATAGCGATAAAATGTCAATTTCTGAAAGATTTTTTAATTTATTTTTTCAAATGGCAGGGTATTACCTTTCTTTTGAAGTTTATGATTCTTTGACATTAATTATGAGAAAACATTTCGGGTAATTTTTTTTGAAAAATTATTTTTAAAATGGTATTTTTTAAAGTTCAAACTATCCCGACATTCGACAAATAATTAAAGATTCTCCTCTGATACTTGTAAATGCTGATGAGTTTGTGGACTTTCCTAGACCTTTATTTTCAAATATTATTTATATTGGGGGTATTGGAATGAATGAGAAAATTGAAGAAAAGTCTTTAAATAAACTTGATGTTTGATTTTAAAAATACACTTTAATTTTAAAAATTTATTTTGGAAAAAAGGATCAACTAAATTTTGAAATGAATGAAGGAAAGAAAGGTGTTGTCCTCTTCTCTTTTGGTACATCAATGAGCACCAACGAGTTACCTAAAATATTTATTGAAAATTTATTCAAAACTTTTAAAGAATTTTCTGATTATCATTTTATAGTTAAAGTGGATATAACAGATAATGTATTTTTTAAAGTTTAAAATTAGAGTTGTTCACGAATGGTTTTAAAACCGAAGATTTTGATATTTTTTGCCAAAAATTAGTGTGCGGACATATCGGGATTGGGGTGATAAAATAATTTCTTGCGTGTTTACGTTTGTTCTAAAACATACAAACTCTTCCAATATACTATCCAAGACCCAGTGGCCGTAGGTCACGAAACAGTAGAGTAACTGTTCGTACATTGAAATATCCCGTTATGTCCGCGTGCCTAGAGTTGGACGAGTCGAGATCGATATCGATATATCGTCTCGAATATCGCACATTTTCCAATATCGATATCGGTCTCATCCGATATCGATCTCGAAATCGATACCGATATATCGCCCCAAATATCGATCGATATCGAGATTAATATACACCCCTAAAGATTGCCTTTTTTTCTAAGAAATGAAAGAAATCTGGCCTCTTGCCTTTCCAAAATTCTCAAAATTTTCGCCTGCGGCGCTGAGAAAGAGAGAAATAAGGCTACTTGGCTCTCCCAATTTTCCATTTTTGGTCGTGGTTAAATGGTAAGTCGACTGGCTTCACTCACTTAGATATTTTCATAGGGATGGGTTTGGATCCAGAGATGGAAATAGCCATAAAAAATTTTTATTTTGAGATCACTATTTTGAGATCACTTGCAAAAATCTCAAAATTACATGACAGGGATGGATTTTCTTCCGCTTTTTAGGCCTCTTCCGCCAAAAATATACCCCAATTCCGACAAAACTCTAGAAGAAATTTATTTTGGACTTAAGAAATTTTCCCCATGTTCCAAATAAGAAAAATGTGGCTTATTGACCTTGCAAAAATCTCAAAATTTTCGCCTGCGGCGCTGAAAATGCAAGTTTTTGGCCCGTTGACCTTCCAAAATTCTCAAAATTTTCGCCTGCGGCGCAGGAAAGGGTAAAAATTTTATAATAAAAATTTTTAAAAATAATACGGTAAATATCGAATATCGATCTCGATATCGAGTCAAATCTTGCATATCGATATCGATCTCGACCATGCCAATATCGACCAATATCGATATCGAATTTCTCCTAAAATATCGATATCGTCCAACTCTACGCGTGCCTAAAGATTAACCGTCTTTACAAAATTTAAAAAACCGAGAAAACTTCTGAAAATGAGTGATTATATTAAAAATTCCCCCAAAATAGAACCGATATTTAACTAAAATTTAAAACAGAAAGCCTGGTTTAATTGAGAATATAGGTTGTATGGAGCTATGATGTTATGGGGGATTTCTATTGTTATATCCCAGAGGCGGGGCAGGTCTTTCGATTAAACCAGAAGGTTGATTAAGTCTTCAAGTTTTCACCTAAGTGTCCTAGGATAAATTAAAGACTAAATATTCATTTAAGTATTTATTAACTTAAATAATTATTTAACCAATTAAAACATTCAATTATAAGATTATTAAAAGAAATAACAATAATTAAAGGGGGTATTAGCATTCTCTTTCCATAAACATAGAACAATTAACTAACTGAATAAGGATTTTCTAAGCTAATGGAAAATATGTGGGCGGGGTCTAGACATGCTTTACAGTTTTTAAATTTGGATTAACCGAATAATCGGTAGTGAACAACCCTAGTTTAAAGTTAAAGATTAAAATTATTTTTTAAAAGTTTATAAAAGAATTAGCAACTGACATTAAAAATATTTTTACAATTAATTGGATTCCCCAAACAAAAATATTAAGTAAATCCTTTATAAAAAATTAAAAAAATTTTTTTGTTAGACCATCCTCGTCTAAAATTATTTATAACTCAATGTGGATATAATAGTTTATTGGAAGCTGGAACGGCTGGAATTCCTGTTTTGGTAATGCCCTTCTTTTTTGACCAATTTCGAAATGCTCGAGTAGCTGAACGTAATGGATGGGGATTATATTTTGATAAAAGATTGTTGTTAAAAAGTGATGAGGAATTTAAAATTGCTTTACAAACAATTCTAGAAAATGAGAGGTAAACTTCGGTCTAAGGCTCATTCGGCTCCCGGAGATTTGGGGAGTGGACACTTGGGGATTGGACATTTGGGGAGTAGATAAATGGGGAGTAAGCGGACAATTGGGGAGTGGACATTTGGGGAGTAGCCTAACGATAAAAATACAATAGAATATTAAATAGTTTTTCTTGCTTTTGTATTTAAAAAATGGATATAGGATAGTTCACCGGAGGTAAAAGTTTGGGGCGTGACATATGTCATTCGATTTATCTCGGCGAGCTGAGTCGAACGGTACTACTCCCAATTTCATAAATGATTCTGGACCGAGTTGTAGTTCCTAAATGTTGAAAAACCATAGGGTGGGGGAGTAAGCTCGATTTTGGGGTGAAGAATTCGAATATGCAAGTAATAGCTCATTCGAAAGAGCTCCTCGAGCTGAGTCGAAAAGTTTTAATTATTTTTTAAATTTAATTATTTTCTATATATATTGGGGTTTGAAATGGTCAAATACCATTGGTGGGATTTTAGGGTCAAAAATTCGAAAAAGCATATAATAGCTCATTCGAGAGCTTCCTAATTTATTTTTTTAAATACAAAAGCAAGAAAAACTATTTAATATTCTATTGTATTTTTATCGTTAGGCTACTCCCCAAATGTCCACTCCCCAAGTGTCCGCTCACTCCCCATTTATCCACTCCCCAAATGTCCACTCCCCAAGTGTCCACTCCCCAAATTTCCGGACACGCTTCGGTCTAAGGCTCATTCACCTCCTCGTAGTTATTGCTAGGTGCTTTCGCTCAACACATACAAGAGCTCTGCCACTGAGTTGCCGTGGCGACGACTAATGCTTTCCCTTTTATCCTCGTTTAACCCCCACCTAACAATAAGTTTTATAAATGCTCTAAGTGAACCAACCTTACAATATTTTGAATTGTTTGTCAAAGGTGAATTATGTATTTACATAATTCACTTTAGTCTAGCAAGGAGAGTTTACGAGGTATCCGACCTAAAAACGGTCGAGACCTGCTCTTTCTAGCAAGGATTTTGAGGGCCATATCTTGGCCAGATCAAAAAAGGGCAAAAACAGCTTAAAATCTTGCTAGAAAGGGCATATATCTACCGAATGAGCCCGGTCTCAACCGTTTTTAGGTCGGACACCTCGCAAACTCTCCTTGTAAGGATTCTTTTTTATTTTTTTTTGAAAATCTCGAAAAATCTTTTAATTTTTTAGATTTAAATTAAACGCTGAAAGAACACGAAAACTTATAATGACTAAAGTATTTTTTAATTAAAAATAAAGTTTTTTATTTAAATTTTAGCCCTTTTCGGGAGAACAACGTTTAATTGAAAGTTTTAATTTTTTGGAACAAAATGGGGGTGATTTGAAGGAATTACTGCCCGAGTCCCGCAATTTAAGCACAACTGAATTATATAATTTGGATATTGTATTTGTTGTTGTTATAACTTTGTTTATACTGCTTTTAACAATGATTATAGCTTATCAAATGTGTTGGAAGTTATTGAAAGATTATTATAAAAAAGAGATTAAAAAGAAAAATGATAAGAAAATTAAATAAAAATATTTATGTAAAATAAGGGCTGGGCAAAATATAAAAATAGTATTATACACCTTATATGCGGATTAAGGTTGTCTGATCCGGATCCGAAAGGAGACCGGATATCCGAAGATTTCCAACTATCCGACAACCTTAATGCGGATATGTCTTGATGACTGATGCAAAAGTTCCAAAATTTCTCTGGAACCGGTTCCAGTTCCAAACCGGTTTCAGACCTTTATCGGTTCCGCGGTTCCAGTTCTGGAACTTTTGCATCACTGCTTGATGTGAGAAGCTTTTCGGCCTATCTATGATTTTGTGTGCATCTTATGCCTAGCCCTTATTATTAACAATTTCATATTCATCAAAATTTGTAATAAATATTTAAGAATATTTTGACAAATTCAAAAATTTCTGGTATGTAAAATAAAAGTTTAATATGCATTTAAATTTATTCTCTCAACTTTAATTCAACAAAAACTTTTCCCGGGTTAAGCACAATTTGACCGCTAAACTTCAATTCAGCCTAAATAAAAAAGATATTCTTGTACATTTTAGAAAAATTTTTTATAAAAACTTTTATGGTTTTTAAAATCCTAAAAATATCCCTTTCGATGTTCTATTTATTTTTTACCTCTGTCTCTAAACAACGTTTCAATTCAAACGTTTTTAGTAATCTAACAAGTATCATTTTTGTCTCCATTATTGCAAAACGTAATCCAATACAGATTCTAGGTCCGCCACCAAAAGGATAATAAAATGTTAGTTCCTCTCCATTTAACCATCTAAATAAATAAATTGATGTGTTGAAGGAAAAATTAGGGTACTTTTCCGTTATACGACCGCAAACTGAGTGCCAGCCGACTTTGATCAGCTATAATTTTTAATGCTTGATCCAATACAAACGAATTTTATGTCTTTCAACGCCCTCGATAAGCTGTATATTTTTCTAATAGGATAGATCAAATCTGTTCATAATTAAAAAATTATAAACCGCTAAGTTGAGTTGTTTGATGTTTTTCACATTTATCGGATTATAACTTTTTAATGGCTGATCAGACCTGGTCCATCTAGTTGGAAAAAGAGAGCTTATCGAGTGCTTTCGAATGATATAAAATTCATTTGTATTATATCAAGCATCAAAAAGTTGTAGCCGATCAAAGTCAGCTAGCACTCAGTTTGCGGTCATATAACGGAAGTGTACCAAAATTCGTTCTCTCCTTCTGTAAGGGAAGGTCTTCTAAAAACTTCATCTACCTTTCAGGCCTAAATTCTTCAGCATCTTCTCCCCAAAGTTTTGGATCTCTATGAAGAGTCAACAAGTCAATAGATATATTTGTGCCTTTCTCTATAATCATACCCCCAAGAGTTGTTGTTTCTTCACATACACGATTTACCCCACTTAAAGTGGATATATTTATTAAAATTTAAAGAAGAAAATTACGAAGCAATAGGGCAAAGTCTCTGAGTTTCTTTAAAAACGGCATCTGCATATTTTAATTTTGCCAATTCATCATAACTAGGCATTTCTTCTCCATTCCCACAAACTTCTTCAATTTCCTCAAATAACCGTTTTTGTACTTCCGGGTACATAACTAAATAGTGTGCCATTAAACTCAAATTATTAGATGTTGTGTCAAAGCCTGCCAAAAGGAAGAGGACACAATTAAGTACAATTTCTTCCAAAATTGTATGACGTTCAAACTGGGAATTAAATTATGGAAATTGAATAAAATTGGGAATTATTTGAGTGCTACAAGTAAATGCTTTTTAATTGGAATTATGTTAAATTTAATGGGAATATGGGGATTATGCAGGGCTTGGCTATGGCTATTGGGGGCTATAGCTATTTCTCTCCTTTACCTAGAACAAAAGGTAATTCGGCGGCTGGGAATTATCTTTATTTACCAAGAGAGTTAATTACCTTTATTTAGAGTAGGTCGAGGTCGAGGTTTTTTGAAAAAACCGAGACCGAGGATCACCGAGGCAGGAAAAGCCGAGATCGAGGTCGAGGGGCAAATTTTGGCCGAGGACCGAGGTCGAGGTTCGAGGATAACCGAGGGTTTTAAAAATTTTTATAAAACTTCAAAATTTCCCAAATTTTATCAATTTATGCGCCGCAGGCGAAAATTTTAACAATTCTGGAAGGCCTAAATTGAAAAATTCAGGTGTTAGACCCAGAGGCAAAAATTTTTTGAAGGTTAGATGGTCATGAAGTCAGAACTCTTCAATTTTCTAAGCCGCAGGCGAAAATTTTGTGAAATTCTTGACCAAATTAAAATTTTTGAAGTTTTTTCAAGTTAAAATTTTGAAAAAATAAAGTTCACATTTAAAATCAAATCAAAGTTAAAAATTTATATTTTTGGAAGAAAAAATGTCAAAAAATCTTATTTTCGAATCATGGATTCGTACCCAGTCCTACAGAATATCAAAGTTAGTACTTCTTCCTTTTGAAAATTTTTAGAATTTTGGAAGCCCAAGTCACCAGATATAGTATTAAAAATTCCCGATTTTTCAAAAAATTTCCGGAATCGGGAACGTGAATTCCCAATGAAATTTTAATTTCCTATTTCGGGAAATCGGGATCCCGAACCAGAAAAAAGTCGTGAGTTTCCGCTTTTCGGGAATTGGGACGGATCATTCCCTGATATATACCTAAAGCTGAACGGAGACGCCGCATTTTTCTGGATTAACCTTCTTAATATACCTAAGCCAATTTCTTATTTCAGCGCCGCAAGCGAAAATTTTGGTAATTTACAAAGCCGATAAGCTTAGATTCTTCCTTTTTTAGCGCCGCAGGCAAAATTTTGAGAATTTTTTGAAAGAAAATAGGGCAAAATTCTTCTATTTCTGCGAAAAAAGTCAATCTTTAGGGGTGTATATTTACCCTCGGTCCTCGGCGAGGTTTTGGGCGAGGACCGAGACCGAGGTTCCGAGGCCCGAGATCATCAAAATCGAGGTCGAGGTTTGAAAATGGGCGAGGACCTCGGCCTCGGCCTCGGCGAGGCCTCGACCTCGACCTACTCTACCTTTATTTACCAAGGGTCTAGAAAGTCAACCCTTTTCTTATCTAAATTTTCTTCAGATGACCGGACTGATGTGCTATCCATTAAACCTCCTACTGTACAGCCTTTAGGATATGTATTTTAAAAGAAAAATATCCCTCCCTAAAAATTTCCCAAAATCACCTTATCAGTTTTACTGTAATTTCCATTATTTTTAGTCAAATCAACTTCATTATTTTCTACTTCTGATTCCAAAAACAAGTCTATAAAATCAACCCTTTTCTTATCTAAATTTTCTTCTTTTTGTTCTTCCCCCTCCCTGATTTTTTCTTCCTTTCTTTGTTTAACAGCCTCATAAATTTTTCCAATTAAAAGCTGTAAAGGATCTTTTCTAATCTTTCCAGTAAAAGCAACAAAAGGGTCTAAAATATTTTTGCCAATCCAAGGGAAAATAAAAGCTATATAATCAAAAATATTGTTGTTTTGGAGAGCAAAAACATCGTGAGCCATTTTACAAAATTCTGAATTAAATTGTCTAGAATCTTTTTGACCCATTGCGATACGAGAAATTATATCGAAAGAAAGCTCATCGAAATATCTGCAAAAGAAAAGTTTGCATGTATTCAGCATAGGTGGGTCAGAACAGGGGGAGTTGTCGAAGATCGGTAGGGCCGGAAATCGGAACTTGCTCAAAGGTTGGAACTCGGAAATCGGAAATCAAATTTTTTTCGGAAATCGGAAAGTAAGAAACGTCGGAAATCGGAATTCCGACCCATCTCTGGTATTCAGTCATCTTCGGATTAATATTCTCTCATTTGTCTTCTCTTACAAATTGTCAAATACTCATATTTTCCGGTTTTGATAGGAGAATAATTAGAGTTTTCCGGAACATTATCGAAACTTTGTAGAGATCGGACCAAGATAAATCATGAACAAAATTCTCGAGTATCGAGATGTATATCTCGTTTCTCTTATGACACTCCCAATCAGATTTCTAATTTGAGAGAGGTTAATTATTCGAGCATCCACGGTATCCTTCAAAACTCACTTATGTAAATCAACATGAATTCCGGAGAGTTCTGCTTGTTTTAATAGATGAATATTAACCTTTATTGAATCGTCAATTATTGGCATAACCTTTAATTTAAAATCAAAAAATTTGCGATATTAAAAAAATAAAATTTTTGGTTATTGCCAAAAAATGATTTTTTGTTCTACTTTGTTACAAAAAAGATTTTACTACTTATGGCGGAGCCAATTTTGGCGGAAGTACCTCTTGTCTAATGATTAGTTACCGTAAGACAGTAATAATTTGAATTCCCTTTTCTGTTAAATTAATAAATTTAATATTTACTCTTTTTAAATTGGAAATTGAAAATGCTGGATTAGCAATTGCACGAAGCCGCTTCCAACGTTTTCCTTTAGCAAAAAATAAAGGAATCAACCTTTTTGTATCTACATCGCCAAATAATGGAGAGACCTTTAAATATATAAATGAGATATGATATGTATAGTCTATATTAATTATTAAGGCCAATAAACCAGGCCCAAAGTCCAGGCCCCTGGATCTCTTAAACCAACCCTCGCTCATTTTTTCCAATCCAAGGGAAAATTTACTAATAATTAATAATAGTAAAAGTCAATTATTGGCATTGCTAGTAACATCCTGACAGTTACTGCTAGGCGCTCTCGCTTACCACATATAGGATCTCTACCCCTGACATGAGCTACCGGGGCATCGACTAATGCTTTTTCTTTTATCCTTTTAGATCGTTTAACCCCCACCTATGCGTTTTAACTTCTCTAGTTGAATCATCCTTACATCGTCGTTAAATGTTAATCTCTCGATATGTTCATAATTTAATGTTTATTCTTTAAACTTGCCGCTCTTCCATGAAATTTCTCAAATTTGTCAACAAACACTTGTTTAATCATTACTGGATCACTAATAACTAATTCATTAAACCATCCATTTTTAATTCCATAAACACTTCCAAATTCTTTACTCCATATTTGTTTTTGTATTGCTGCTATATTTTTACCAAAAATTTGGTCAATATTTCCTTTTAAAGGTAAAGGTTTTGGGCCAGGAATTCCTTTCTTCTTCCAATAATTATTATTTCTTATTGCTGCCCAAAATAGGAAAAGAATGGAAATTGTGATAATTAATAATAGTAAAAGTAGCATCTTTAAATAATTAAAGAAGAATTATTTTTAATTAATTACTCCACACAATTATGTGGATTATAATGTAAATATTGCTGAGAATTAGGAAAAGTTTCTTAAGAGTTTCCAAAATTCGTTGAAAATTAAAAAAATATTCCAAACTCCAAAAATTTACATACTAACTCTTTTTTAACTCAAAAATTATTAACTCGAAAACTGAAACTGAGTCACATGTAGGTGTTCAATCTCATTTCCTTTACTAGTCTGAAATCGGAATTTAAAATTGAAATGATTAACTCTCCAAATGATCTTATTTCTCAATTTTCGAACAGACTCAAATGAAGAATATTGATTTCCAATAACTGGATACTGGCTAGCTTTGTTTCTTCATTATACGTTTTTTATATAATATATGTATTTTTATTTAATTTTGTTAAAATTTAGGTTCCTATTTACTTAAAAATATTAGATAGTATCTTCAAGTTACTACATATTTCGGATAATTTCATTACTTAATTTGCCTGTACGTATATAACTGTCAGCAAAGTAAAATTTGAATAGATATTGGTTAACAGGTTGTGATTATTTTAATTTTTTGTTTAATTGCGAATACTAAATTCAAAAGACACAAACATTTGTGGATGTTTGTGCATTAGATTTTATTAAAAAACAATATTCATTTAAAAAACTACAAACAATTTAAAACTATTTATAAAGCCTCCGGCTGTATTACTGTACTCTGTCGTAGCTAAATACCATGCTTGGGTCTGCTCCTCAAACCCTTCATGAAAGAAGCTAGTCTTTGGCCATCAACACGTTTGTACAGGGTGCGCCATAAGTAATTGCACACTTGTTTTCTCTCATAACTTTATTAAAACAAAATCAAATAAAATCGAAATACAATCAAATGATAGAGAATTAAATAAGGAACAATAATAATCAAGAAGATTCGAGATGCCCACCCTTGGCTTTGATACAGAGGCGAAGGCGTGAAGAAAAATTTTCGCAAATAGCACGCACCTCCTTGAGTGTAATTAAGTCCCACTCTCGGGTGAGAGAGTGGCGCAGAGACTCCAAACTTTTGTGCGGCTTAGCACATGCCCTGGACTCCAAAATAGACCAAAAATAATAATCCATCGGATTCAAATCGGGGGAGTAGGGCGGCCATTCCTGAGCGCTAATGAACCCAGGAAAATTGGCCTTGCACCAGTCATGAACTTCTATCGCCTTGTGTGCCGAAGCAGAGTCCTGTTGGAAAATCCAGACTCTGCGACCGAAATGGCTCTTGAACCAAGGCTTCAGAACACGCTGAAAAATTTCTCGCAAGTAATAGTCTTTGTTGACTTTTACACCAAAATCCACGAAAATAAGGGGTTTTTTGACTGACGCGCAAATACCGGCCCAAACCATGACAGATTGGGGATGTTGGGAATGTGTGATAAGCTTATCGGAAAGAGGAGATTCTGTAGTCCAGATTCTATAATTTTGATGGTTGTGTACGATTTTTATTGTAAAAATTTTTTCGTTTGTGAAAAAAATGTCCGGACATGCGTGCCACAATCAAAAGAGATGAAATTTTGCGGACTGAATTTTTTTGCAAAAAAAGTGAGATTATAGAATCACGTTGACTAGCCATAATAGAGAATTGAATGAGCTAAAAATAAGCCTAAAATCAATTAAAAATTTTGACAACAAAAAAAGTTATAAGGAATTAAAAGTGTGCAATTACTTATGGCGCACCCTGTATGTGTTGAGCCTGCCCAATCCTGCTCAATACCCCATAATTCTGGGTACCGTTTCTGGATGTTATATTCTCGGCTGTCGGCCCCCTAATCTTTCTCTACACATTAACGGTCCAAACCAGGACTGGAGTACATACACTTCCGTGCCTCGTGTAAGACTTCAAAATTCCTAGCCTAAAGTCAAATAGGAGTGACCCACATATTCAAGGCAAAAATGTTTGAGCCCAAGTGTGGCTAACCAAGTGTGTCTACTAATCAGCTACACAAAATTTTTAATCAGCTTCTTGTTGTCTTGCTTAATGAGGTTCACTTTCAATAAACATACTCTGTTGGTAATACTGACCAACCACAGAGAAAGCTTAATGTTTTTTCTATTTTTAATTCTTTTTTAAAGTTAGTCGGTTGGATCTTTTCTTACACTTCGATTTCTGTTTATAGCATAAAGTCGATGAGTTTATGATTCACTAATATTTGCAGATAAGTTTCTTTTTTGGTCCGTGTCCAAATAGATATCACCAAATAGATATCTATTTAATAGATATCACTGGATATAGATGTCATGATTATATCCTACGGATATATTTATATTCGTCAGTTTTTAAACACCCAAGGACAAGTATAATTAATCACCTTTCCAACTTTTATCATCCAACATTTTTAAATATCTCCACCTTATAAACAAATATATGTATAGTATTTATTAGAGACCACACTTTAGGTCGTTCGATAATATCGGTATCGATAATCAATAATATCGGCATCTATATATCGGTATTTTCTTTCGATATATCGTGTCGATCCGGTTTCTACATTTATGTGTAGGGGATGGTCCGTGTCATGAACGCTTGAAAAAAAGAAAATAGATGCAATTACATCTGTTCTTAAATTCAGGCTTAATTTAAATTTTTCAACTGCCCTGGTCGAACCCCTTTTCGACCCGATAAAGGGATGTCACGGGTTATCCGAAACCCTGACTTTTTTCTCAACCCGTGACATCCCTGATCCAAACGAAGAAAATTTTGAAAACCCGATTTTTTCAACCCGGCTCTTCCTCGGAACCAGTGGTTGGAATTTTGAAATTTACTGGTACTCGTATTTTCGTACAGGCCGTATTTTTTCTCGTGCTTATACTATGTATATAGCAGGGTTGCCGCCCGAAACCCGATACCCGAAACCCGAAACCCGGCCTTTTTTTGTACCCGAAACCCGATACCCGAATTGAAAATTTTCAAACCCGAAACCCGAAACCCGTACCCGATATTTTTTCCAACCCGAAACCCGTGACCCGAAATTGGTTAAAACCCGAAATTTCTACCCGAAAACTTAGCCTTACCCGATTTTTTAAAATAAATTTAAAAATTATAGAAAGGAAAAGGGAAAGGAATATTTATAATTTCTTCTATTTTTACATTATGTTGATCTGTGGCTGAATGGGTAAGGCGACTGTCTCTATATTTTAATAGAGGTCGTTTCGAGCCCAGGTCTGGAAATGAGGCCTAAAAAATTTTTCTTTTCAAAAATAAATGTTTTTAAACTTTAATTTTCATTTTAGATTTTTAAATTTATTTTTTTTTAATTATTTTAAGCTTGAAAAAGCATTAAAAATTTTAATTTAGTCATGAATTTTGCAAAATTTTCGCCTGCGGCGCATAAAATTAAGAGTTCTGGCTTCATGACCAACTAAACTCCGAAAAAAATGTCCGCAGAAGGGGGGTAGGGATAACGAAAAAGTACCAAAAATTTTTGCCTGCGGTTCTGACAATTGAATTTTTTCTCCTAAGTCCTTACAAAATTCTCAAAATTTTCGCCTCCGGCGGTGTAAAAGCTAGAAATCTGGCTTACGGGTCATTAAAATTCTCAAAATTTTCGCCTGCGGCGCAAAAAATGGAAGAAATTTGGCTTCTTGGCCTTAAAAATTCTCAAAATTTTCGCCTGCGGCGCTGAAAACTGGTGAAAATTGGAGGCGGAAGGATATTAGTTTATAGTGGGATTTTATCAAGGTGGGATTTTACCAATATATTGGGATTTTACGGAGATATCCCTCTTAATCCCCAAATCCACCAATGTCTCATTAATCTCTTCAAATTTGCTTCTCTCTATACCACCCAATATCCTAGTAAGCAACATAGCTTGTCTCTTTAAATCTAGTTCACAATACCCGAACATCCGAAAATAACCCGAATTTTTCGCCAAACCCGAAACCCGTACCCGAAATTTTTGCCAACCCGAAACCCGATACCCGAAATGAAAATTTTGTAACCCGAAACCCGAAACCCGTACCCGATATTTTTGCCAACCCGAAACCCGTGACCCGAAATGAAAACGCTCCAACCCGATACCCGAAACCCGTACCCGAAGATTTTTTGTACCCGCGGCAACCCTGGTATATAGTAGAGACCGGCAAAATGCATTTGCGGGATCCCGCGGGATAAACCCCGCAAAATCCCGCATCCCGCAAATCGAAAAAAGTGCGGGATTTCGGGAGCGGGATCCCGCAAAATCCCGCGCGGGATCCCGTCCCGCGCCGGTCTCTAGTACATAGTTACGAGTCGAATTTTGTGCGAGCTTCCAACAAATGCTCGGAACCTATTTAACGTCTAAATCAAAGACTTTTCCACGCCTATAAATATTATTTAAACTAAAAATTATTTAAAATAAATCCATTTTTGTCCCTTTTTAAATTTTAAGATTTATTTAAAATTAAACAAAATTCCTTAATGGAAAAAGATAATTCTAAAAATCAAGACAACATTACTGAAAATATTTCAAAAGATGAAGGTAATCCTAATAAGGAGCCTTCTACTCAACCAATCGAAATTGTTGACGAAACTTCAAATATATTAGATAATAGTCAAGAAGCTCCAGAATTGGAGATGAGGGAAGAAGTTAATGCTTCGCCTATACAAGGGGATAGTAGTGATCTTCAGGTAATTTGTAAATATTTTTTGACCCAAACATTTTTTTATTAATTTAATTTATTCAATTCTGTTCTCATACATAATTCTATTATTGAATTCTGATTTTTTCTTCTAACATATACATTTGTATACATACATATGTAAAATCAAAGTGGGTTTTTTACCACATAGATAAACTGCTTTCGAAAAAAAAAGTTTACAACAAACAAAAAAAATATTTTTTTTCTTAACAGAAAATCTAAGTTTTGACATGAATACTAGTGTTTCACCGGAACTTTCGGCGAAACTCCAATGAATACCCCTTAAAAATTAAAAAAAAGTCTCAAGGCTTTGTCTTTAAAGACTTTCTTCAATTTTAAATTCTTTTTATTTTTTAAAATTTTCTTTGTCTCAAAATTCAACAAAAATCTTTCAAAAAAAATTTTTTTACAAGAAAAAATTTAAATTCTTTTCTTCAATCTCTTCAACTACTATTCATCATTTTTGAAGGAATTGTTATTCTAATTTTATTTAATGGTGAAAAATTTTTTGTAGATAATCGAAACAGATGTTTCTACTACCAACGATCTTTCTTTGGATGAGCCAAATCAAAGCACGGAAGAAATGAAGAAAATTATTTTAACTCAAGGGCAACTGAAACTTTTGGCTACCTCAGAACTTTATGTTTTTCGACAAACAGTGATTGGAGCTTTTGTGCGTGTTAACATTCCTGGATTGCCTTCAAATTATTCTGATCGTGTTTTTGTAAGGGTTTTTTTGAATTTTTTATTTGGTAATGGGGAAGAATTGGGGATACACTTTTCTGTTATCCCTACAAACTTGTGGATGAATTTATTTACAGAATGTGTAGGTCGACTCTGCTCGATGAGTTCCTAATTATTCACTGACCATTTTGTACATTTTCAAGAAAAAATTGACTTGGGACAAATTCGTACCAATACTGGACTATTAATTCCAACACACGATCAAGGTAGGGGAAACTTGTCAGAGAAAGTCTGCCTGTTCATAAATTCGTCCGCAAAAAAAGTTCGCAAAAGCTTGTAGGGATAACGGAAATGTGCCGAATTGGGGATAGGCTTTTAAGATTTTTTACTGAAAATCATTTTATAAGTAATCAGGATGGCCCTTTCCAAATCACCAAAAGGGGGCATGGCTTCCCAAAAGGGGCGAAATCGGTTAAAAAGGAGGCAAATGCCATCCAAATAAGGCAAAAGGGCCATCCTTTAAGTAACGGGGGAGGGAGGCACCCTGTAAGTAAACCACTCTGTAAGCTGGTCAAAAATCCGATCCTCAATTCTTTACCATTATTTTATATTTTTTTTAATTTCTTAAAAATTTCAAGATTGATCAAATAATTGATATAATCGAACCTTTGAGTTTTCAACATCTTTGGATTGATCGCCGTTATCGACTGCGCTTTTTGGGTGATTTTGAAATTGAGAATATTGTTAGTTTGAAGGCCAATCATGATAGTGATGTTCGTCCATGGTTTGATTGTATGGAGGCTAAGGTTATTTGTTAATATTTAATTTGGGGTTTTTTTGTTCATTACGATTCCCAAAAATAGTTTTTGGAATCTAGTCGATGTTAAAAGCCAAGGGGTTTGAACTAAGTTTTTTTCGACCCCCTTGACAATATACATTCTGTTGTTCTGGGGGGGGGGGTATTATAGTGTATCCACCATTTGCCAGAAATGGCAATTGAAAAATATTACAACGGAATTCATTTTTCTGGAAAATGGCATGCTATTTGCCATTAATGACGATGGCGAACTATTGCTATAAAAGGGTGATCAATAGGCCCCTGGGTTTACCTTAATTTTAATTACTTCGAAATTTCATTATTTTCTTTTCAGGGCGAAATAATTCCAACCCTTCGTTTTGTTCGCCAAAAAGCTAATGAGATTAAAACCCAATTGGATACTCTTTCTGCCAAGCAGACTTTGAAAGAACTTGACAAGCAGAAGATAACTTTTACACGTTCAAATCTTTCACAAATTGCTTTAAATCCTTCAACTCTTCGAAGTTTGTCAAAATTGGGATTTGAAAGATTTCGTCAAGTAGTTGTTGGATGCTTTGTTTGTATGACAGCTATTCGTAAAAATAAGGTTTTTCTTTTATTTTTTCGCTTAGAAGTTAAGAGGGCTCCCCGAAATGGGGGAAAGTGGAGAGGGATTATCAAAAAATTGACTTCTTTCGCTACAACCTACAGAACAACCCGAAACCGACCCCCTGGATACGCCTTTGTTTAGAAGACACTAAAATAGAATAGGATTTTCCTCAATTTGTTCACGAGTGGTTATTTGCCTCTAATGATTATTTTATTTCAGCCAAAGGACTGTCAATATCATATCGTTCGAGTTCTTGATTGTGTTGAAGGACCTCGTAATTACAAAATTAAAAACGTTGCAAGAGTTAATTATCAATTGGTTTTGCCTTTCTATGGCCGTTATATTATAAATTGGATGAAAAGTTTTTCGACAGTTACTGAACAAGGATTTCGTAATTGGATTGAAGATATGAAGGCTTGGGTATGGAGCAGGCCAACTTACCGTGAGCCCAACATACCGCAGAACTATAACTCCGTTCAAAATATTCGAATCCGGGACGCCCTGGTATGGTTCGATGCGCCTCGACGAGCTGAATCGAACCATATTAGGGCGTCCCGGATTCGACCACTTTGAACGGTGTTATAGTTCTACGGTACGTTGGCCTTGCGGTACATTGGGTTGTACCTTTGGATATTTTTTAAATTTCCGGCTCTTTCAGGATGAAAAATTGCCGACATTGGATGATATTCAAAATAAAGCTGCTGAACTTCAACTTGCTTTGAATGAAGCAGAAAATTTACCTTCAATGATGGAATTGGAAAGAATTCAGAAAGATGAAGAAGAAAAGGCTAAGCGTGCAAAATTGCCTGTTAAGTCGGCAAAAGATTTGGAAAATTGTGTTTTGATTTGTGAATATCTTCAAAAATTGAGTAATTTTGAGGATTCGGAACCTTTAGTTAAATTGTTGACTGGTTGTTTTGTTCGTCTGACGTCTTCAGGAGGTGGTTCTGAAACTGGCTTTGAGGTTCTCTTTTTCTTTAAATTTTTGATTAATTCCCTTATTTAAAAGCTCGATAAAATTATGAGTGTCAAATTAAACGAGCAAAAGAAGAACAGGCCTGCGGATATTGTTTTGGAATTAAAATTTATGGGAACTGTTTCTTTATCTGCACTTATTCGTCTTGTGAGTTCAACAAAAATTAATGAAAAAGAATTTAAAGAGTGGGTTAAAAAGAATGAAAATGATGAGGTTTAGTTTTTGTTTTAAATGAAAAATTTTGATGGTTCTTTTTGATCTTTTTTTGGGAAATATTAAGGGATTTAAAAAATTTTTTATTATTTCCCGTCTCTATGTTGGGTGGGGGCTAACTGAAGGAATACCAATTCATTGAACAGACAAGTCAAGGAAAAGACAGAACGACCAAATCATGGACCAATTTTTTGAAAAATCTGAATATTTTTAAAAATAAGAATTTAAAACAAATTAGAATATTTTAAAAAACTAAATTAAAAAAATTCTGAAAAATTCTGATTTTTAAAATATTCCATGATTTGTGATGTTCCATTGTCCTGTCTGTTCCTTTAGTTGGTATGTTCCATAAATTGATCGTTTCCTGATTTGGCTGTTCTTTGAGTTAGCCCGACACGTCTATGTTAATGGTTATAGGAAATTCTCCGGGTCAGTTCCTTAATTTGTTGTTTTTGGTGTTAAATTCTTTTGAAGATTCCTGATTCCCTTGAAATTTTCTTTTATGGAAAATTATTTTAAAGGATCATTTTTACCCTTTTTAATTTTCCTTCTAAAATTATTTTTATTTTTAAATTTTAGGATGATCCTCTGCCCACAAATGAATTTGTTTGTGAAAAATATGCTGAATTAACAAAAGTATTGGGAATACCTACACAACCTTACAAATCAGAAGTAATTTTTTGAGTGCTCTTTAAATAAAATAAAATTTTTTAGTCTTTACCTGTCAACGGTTCAAATGTCTCAAATTCTGGATCAAAAATTAAAAATGATGAAATTAGTAATAATTCAGTAAATAAATCTGTGGAAGTTATTACAAGAGAACCTTTTTCTTTGCAAACAAAAGATGGGAAATTAACAACAATAAATGTTTGTTTATTTTAAATGTTCCAATAGAAGCCCTAGGCGTCTATTTTTTATGGGTCCCATTGGGTTGCTCGAGTTGGCATTTTTTGAATTTTTATTTTTTTTCTATAAGGACATGGGCGTTTATTCTTCGATACCCCCTCATGGGCTTATAATAGGGCATGAGCTTCTATTGGAGCCGGGCTTCTATTAGAACATTTCCGGTATTCATTTTAAAATTAAAAAAAAATAATTTTGTTTTTAGTTCCGAAAATGTTTAATGTCAAAAAATAAAATATTTGATATGATGTCTTGGGATAAAGAAACACTTGCTAGAGTTGTTAAAGGATTTTATGTTAGAATTGGTATTTTTTAAAGATTTTTTTTAATTTTTATTTTTTAAAATTTAAAGGTGCAAGACGTCCTGAAAAGGTTTTATTTTGTTAAATAAAAAATAATTTTTTAAATTTAGTCATCGGAACAACAATTTTATGTTGATCAGATAACCGGTGTTAGTTGGGGAGGTACTCCATACAGGTTTGTTTTTTGGTTTTGGGTTAGATTTTTTTCACAACATAACATGAAATTCTTATTAAATGGTTCTAAAAAATATTTAACATAAAATTTATCAGCAGGCCAATGTACCGCAGATCTATAACTTAGTTTAATATTATCGAATCCGGATGCCGTTGTATGGTTAGACTCTGCTCATCGAGTTGCATCGAATCATAGCTCGGCGTCCCGGATTCGATAATTCTAGACTAAGTTATCTCACGGTACTTTGGGGGTTACCCATTACCTGAATTTTAAAGTTAATGATTTTATTTGTCTATTCTATTTATTTAAATTTGTTTATTAATTCCTTAATTGAATTATGGCTTTTTTTAAATCAAAACATAATTAAATTTTATTTTTACTCTATAAAAAATTTTTTCTTTTTTAGAATCAGAGGAAATGTTTTGACTGATATTCGACTTCATCTTAAAAATTTGGAGGCTAAGACTTTGCAGCAATTATATAGATCTTCTGGAGATGGTTTCAGTGATGATTCTTTAAAGATTTTTGATGAAGATACGAAAAAATGGGTTTTTATTTTTAATTATTTTTTAAATTTATTTTAGAATCAAAAGCTTCCAACTTTGAATTTTATTGATTCAAAAAATAGAGAATATATTAATGCTGTGTCTAAATTTTATAGAAATTCCAAAAATCTTTTTAATCGTCCGGAGCTTCGTGAAATGTCTTTTCTTGGTCGGAAAACACAAGTTAAGGTAAATAAAAATATTTTTTGTGCTTTTCTATTAGCATTTATGATACATAAATAGTCGGAATAACGGTTTAAAAAATTCGACAATTTTTATCCTTCCCCATAAATTTTATCGTTTTCCATTTTGGGATTGTCATTTTCCTTTTTCTTAAGTAACTTTTCCTCCTCTGTATTTATCTATTCATTGGAAAGATTTTTTATTTTCGATTTTATTATATTTCCTCGAAAATTCCATCACTTATTTTTTTAAATTTTTTTTTATAAATCTACTAAAATATAGGATATCGGTGATTCTCCAAAATTGAATCCCGGCTATGAACAGCTCCAACAATATATACAAGCAAGATTATTGTTTAAAAAATTTTTAAAATAAATTTAATATTTTTTAGAAACAAGTAGTTTCTTCTGTTTTAACAACACCAGGAATGGGGCAACATTTGTGGAATGATTCCCAATCAGACCAACCTCGATTTACTCCAATTGTTCAACAACAACCAACAAATACCAATAAACCAACACCTTTACTTAATTATTTTAACACTCCTCGAGTTGAAGAAAATAATAATTGGAAAAAACAAACAGCTTCGTTTATTTCTTCTTCTGCAAGTAAAATTCAAGCATTGAATGATTTGAAACCTGAACGAGAATCTTGGCGTCAACATTTTTCTTCGAATGAATTTGATGTAAAATAAATAATTTTTTTTTGGAATTTAAAATATTTTTAAATTTAGCGTATTAATGATCCTTATGGAACATTTTCTGCTAAAAATCCATCTCCATATTTTCCTTCGAGTGGAGAAAGTGCTTCGAGAAGTTTGATGAGTTTACGTGATTTTGCTTCTGCTTCGAGTTCTCGATATTATCAGGCAATTTATTCTAGAAAAATATTTTTTGAATAAAATTTTATCTTTAAAGGAAAGTAATTTGGTTGGAGGCAAAAATCGTTTTGGTTCTCCAACTTCAGCTTTACAACAATATAGCAACACATATTTACATGCAAAGCGTCCTCGTTTGTCACCTGAAGCGCCGCCTGTAGAACGCCTCTTTTGATTTACTATATTTTTTGTTTTTGAACTTGAATTATTAACGATTAAATGAAGGAAATGAATTTAACTTTTTTTTGGTAAAAATATTTTTAATAAATTTTGCGTTAAAATTTTTAACAATGTTTTTGTGAAGAAAGGGGTAGTATCAGGGGTGTGCCAGTTTCGCCTTTCGCGGATTTTCGCGTTTTTGGACTTTCGCCTTTCACTTTTTAAAATCTGTTTCGGCACAACCCTGGTACATATCTAAATTAAATACCGGATCCCGATCAAAAATCTTGGTTATCAAAATCTCGATTCTCGTTTAACCCTCCCAATCTGATCTCTAATTCAAATAATATTTAAAAATTGTCAAACAAGTTTTTCTATTTTTTCTTCATTTAGAGGATTATATACATGGTTTCCTCCAAATTTCTTGCTATGACTACTATAATTGTTTAAACATGCTTCAACTTTTAAATCATTCACTTGTCCTACTAAATAAGAATTAATTTTATTAATTTTTTCATATCTTTTACCTTTTAATCGGTAACAACAGAGTTGTTATCGCCATCACTCTCGTCATCTTCAACATCTTGTTCTAAAATAAAAACAATTTAAATTAAAAACAATCCCCTTTTATGTATATACAGTCGTGGAAAAAAGTATGGAAGCGCTAGAAAATTTTTTCTTAATTTTTAATTTTTCATTCAAAAAATACGTTTTATATATCAATCGAAAGCTCTATTCGTATCTCAGTTGACATGTTTCTGCATTTTTCATGAAAATGAAAATTGGCCGAGATAATCCGGATCTACCGGATATACCAAATCCCATTTTTTCGGAAAAATTTTTCGGAAGAAATCTAACAAACCCATTTGATAAAGCATATTTTTCTGAGTATTTTCCACAAAACCGCTTAGAAATATCTTTTTCCGGAACAGAGATATGATTTTTTAAAAATCGCATTTTTCCCTTAAAAATCGAATTTTTTGCAAAAAATGACCAAAAATGCGATTTTCAAAAAATCATATCTCTGCTCCGGAAAAAGATATTTCTAAGCGGTTTTGTGGAAAATACTCAGAAAAATATGCTTTATCAAATGGGTTTGTTAAATTTCTTCCGAAAAATTTTTCCGAAAAAGTGGGATTTGGTATATCCGGTAGATCCGGATTATCTCGGCCAATTTTCATTTTCATGAAAAATGCAGAAACATGTCAACTGAGATACGAATAGAGCTTTCGATTGGTATATAGAACGTATTTTTTGAATAAAAAATTAAGAATTTAAAAAACTTTTTCTAGCGCTTCCATACTTTTTTCCACGACCGTATGTAATATTTGGGGATGGGATTGGGGAGAATATTAAATAGGTAAGGTTCGCCGAATGCTCCGGTTGTCCTAGTCCATAGAAGGACTAGGGCCGGACACGCCTCATGTTACATATGTAAGGATGATTCACCTAGAGCATTTGAGATGCTTAGGCAGGGGTTAAACAAGCTAAAAGGATAAAAGAGAAAGCATTACGATAATTGTCAGGAGGTCGCAGGTTCGAATCCTGCCCAGCGGCTAAGCTTTTGCAAACTCTTTCTTATTTCTTAAAAATAATTTTTTTGCCTTGATTATTATTTTGATTTTGTTGATGGTGTGGATGGTCATCATTTCCCTGATTTAATTGATTCATTATTGCCTGTAATTCTCCATTTAATGCATTTATGTGATTTAATAAATTATTATTTTGGAAATAAAAATTGTTGAGCCAGTGATAATTATCAATTATTAGTTGCAAGTTTATATTTCCAGCAGCCACTTGTTGATAAAAATTATGTCCATGGTGTTGAATTTGTTGTAACATGTTATTTAATAAATTATTCCCGATATTTAACTGATTCAAAATATTATTTATTTGAACATGTTGGGGAGGGTGAGGGGGGATATGAACTAAATTATGGTTATTATTATGATGGACATTGTGAGGAGGATGATGATGAATATCTCCAATTAAATGATTAATTAAAATTTCTGATTGTCGTTGACATTCATTAAAAAAATTAAAGAGAATAATCTGTTGAAAGTTATATAAATGATTCCCTCCAAAGTTACAATGTACTTGCAAAATAACATTGCCATTAAAAAATATATGTAAATTATAAATCGTCGCTATGTTATTTGGATGTTGGTGTTGATCAATTGGACATTGAAAAGAAATTGGCTAAATAAATAGAAATATTTAAAATAAAATGTCTGATGCCATTCTCAGTTTTAAATTTAACAGCTAGTTTTTGGAAAAATAAATTCGCGTTTTTTTAATTTTTAAAATTTCCATTGAATAGTTACGGTCACGGTGTGATAGATACCAGGGGCGGGAGCTGGCCAACGTACCGCAGTCGAATCCGGGACGCCCTGCTATGGCTGATGCGCCTTGACGAGCTGAATCGAACCATACCAGGACGTCCATGATTCGATTGGCATTTAAAAACGTAATGTTTTTTTCCAATAATGGATTCAACCCAACCCTCTGCTAAAACTCTCCAGGTCCATCAACTTAACACCTTATCCACACACTTCTTCTGGAATTAGGGGTGTAAATTTTCCCATTTTCCGAAAGACGTCTCGACACGGGAACCGAGACCGAGACTCTCAAGCAGTCTCCTGCATAAATTTAGGAATTAAATAGCTACATCTATGCTTTACAATATTTTTAGGTGTCCCTACTTACAATTTGATGTACATTATGAACTCTATAATGTAATCGAAGTTGCATGAATTGACCTAATTGACAACGACTTTCTGACAGACTGGGGCATGTTTCTTGAAAACCATTAGGAAAATAAGCATGTAAATCTGGGTTTTGTACAAATAGAATATCACATGTAATCTTTTTAAATTCAAAAATATGTCCATGTTCCCCAATATTAAATTGAAATAAAAAAGAATTAGTTAAATTAAATAAGAGAATAATTGTAGATAATATAATTAATAACATGTTTAAATAATAATTTAGTATATTTCTTTAAAAAAATAATTTTCTAAAATAAATTATTATTTAATTTAAATAATTTGGAAGAAGAATTCTTAATAAAAATAAATCAAAGGCCTGTGCATGGATACGGATATGGATGCAAATAATATTAGGATGCTTGCGGATATCCGCCTGTATCCGCCGTAAATATCCGGATATGGATAGCAAAATCCGTGTTCATGCACAGGTCTGAAACTAACATTAAAAATAAAAACTTTAATATTATAATTCTTTAAATTTTTAATTATACATATTTAACTAGTAAATTTAAAAGAATCATTGAAAAATTATTTTAATTTAAAAATTAAAAAT